ATATATATATATATATATATATATATATATATATATATGTTTAAGAATATTATTCAGCCATAAAAAGGTAATTCTGACACACACTACAACATGGATGAACCTTGAAAATATTATGCTAAGTGAAATAAGTCAGACACAAAAAGACAAATATTGTGTGATTCCACTTGTATGAAATATCTAGAATAAGCAAAGTCATTCAGAAAATAGATTAAAGGTTACCAGAGTCTTGAGGAGAGCTGAGAATGCAGAGTTACTACATAATGGATATGGTTTCTGTTTGGGTGATAAAATATTTTAGAAATAGATAATGATGATGGTTGTACAATATTATGAATGTGATTCATGCCACTGAATTGTACACTTGAAAGTGGTTAAAATGGCTAATTCTATGTTACATGTTTTTTCCCACAACTTTTTTTTATGTAAGTGGTTTTATTTATTTTTTTAAGTTTTTATTTAAATTCCAGTCAGTTAATGTACAGTGTAATATTAGTTTCAGGTTTACAATTTAATGATTCAACACTTCCATACAATACCCAGTGCTTATCACAACAAAGGCACTCCTTAATCCCCATTACCCATTTAACTCCTTAATCCCCTCACTCCCTCCCCTCTGATAACCATCAGTTTGTTCTCAATAGTTAAGAACCTGTTTCTTGGTTTGCCTATCTCTTTTTTTTCCTCTGTGTTCATTTCTTTTGTTTCTTAAATTCCATATATGAGTGAAATCATATGGTATTTGTCTTTCTCTACATTATTTCACTTAATATTATATTCTCTAGCTCCATTCACGTCATTGCAAATGGCAAGATTTCATTGTTTTTTTATGGCTGAGTAATATTCCATTATATATATAGGTATAAAATTGCCCACATCTTCTTTATCCAGTCACTAGTCCATGGACATTTGGGCTTCTTCCATAATTTGACTACTGTAGATAATGCTGTAAACATCAGGATACACATATCCCTTTGAATTGGTATTTTTGTATCTTTTAGGGTAAATACCTAGTAATGGAATTGCAGGATTTCGGGGTAGTTTTATTTTCAACTTTTTGAGAAACCTCCAATACTGTTTTCCAGAGTGGCTGCACCAGTTTGCATTCCCACCAATTTGCAGGAGAGTTCCCCTTTCTCCACATCCTCACCAACACCCGTTGTTTCTTGTGTTGTTGATTTTAGCCATTCTGACAGGTGTGAGGTAATGTCTCATTGTAGTTTTGATTTTTATTTCCCTGATGATGAATGATGTTGAGCATCTTTTCATCTGTCTGTTGGCCATCTGTATGTTTTCTTTGGAAAAATGTCTATTTATGTCTTCTGCCCATTTTTAATTGGATTATTTGGTTTTTGGGTGTTGAGTTGTATCAGTTCTTTATAGATTTTGGATACTAACCCTTTATCAGATATGTCATTTGCAAATATGTTCTCCCATTCTGTAGGTTGCCTTTTAGTTTTGTTGACTGTTTCCTTGGCTGTGCAGAAGTTTTTTATCTTGACGTAGTCCCAATAGTTTATTTTTGCTTTTGCTTCCTTGCCTTCAGAGACATACCTAGTAAGTAGTTGTATGGCCGATTTCAAAGAGGCCACTGCCTGTGTTCTCTAGGATTTTGATGTTTTCATGTCTCACTATTAGATCTTTTGAATTTCTTTTTGCGTATGGTGTGAAAAAGTGGTCCAGGTTCATTCTTCCTGCATGTTGCTGTCTAGTTTTCCCAACACCATTTGTTGAAAAGACTGTCTTTTTCCCATTGGATATTCTTTCCTGCTTTGTTGAAAATTGATTGAGCATATATTTTGCCCCACAACTTTTAAAAGTCAATGTAATATGCAAAAAAAAAAATTGAACTGTACACTTTATTTATTTTTTTTTTTTAATTTTTTTTTTCAACGTTTATTTATTTTTGGGACAGAGAGAGACAGAGCATGAACGGGGGAGGGGCAGAGAGAGAGGGAGACACAGAATCGGAAACAGGCTCCAGGCTCTGAGCCATCAGCCCAGAGCCTGACGCGGGGCTCGAACCCACGGACCGCGAGATCGTGACCTGGCTGAAGTCGGACGCTTAACCGACTGCGCCACCCAGGCGCCCCTGAACTGTACACTTTAAATGTGTGAATAATATTTTATATAATTTCTATCTCAATAAAACTGTTCTTTAAATAACACAATGCAAATACAAGCAAAGCACAAGAAAGTGGCAGAGCTGTTATTGGTACTACCAGAAGTCCTTTATTAGCCATGTTACAAGGACAAAACCACGTCTACATTTCATTAATCTCCCTAAAAATACTATTATAATAAGGTTTTTCTGATGAAAGCAAAACTATGATTTTTACTGATACTAAAAAATTATTTCAATTGTTAAAAAAAAAAGTAAGTGGGCTAGAAAATGTATCAATCTTGTGTCTGTGATAAATGTTTACCTGGTAGATCTTATTTTTTTTACTGCTTTGGAGAAATTAAAATTGCCGAGGTAAGTGACTATGAAGTTTTCATTTTCTTCCACTCCTGCCTTCTCAGCCCAGACAACTAGGCATTCTAGACAGCTTCCATTCCCGCCAGCAAAACTTTTTCAACCTCATTCAACTTATCTTTAACTCTTAAAAAGCTTTCAGT